TACAACCACAGTAGCGCCTCCTGTAAGCACCACCCCTCTGACAACCTCCACGGGGGCTACCATATCTTCAATACCTTCTACAGGCACTTCCCCCTTGACTGTGAGTTCTACAGGAGGCAGCACACCTTCAGCAACTCCAACTGACAGCACCACTCTTCATTCAAGTTCCCCTGGAGGTACCACAGTGTCGGCAACGCCTACTGAAACCAGCACATCAGTGACCTCCGCTACAGACACTACTACAACCACAGTAGCGCCTCCTGTAAGCACCACCCCTCTGACAACCTCCACGGGGGCTACCATATCTTCAATACCTTCTACAGGCACTTCCCCCCTTGACTGTGAGTTCTACAGGAGGCAGCACACCTTCAGCAACTCCAACTGACAGCACCACTCTTCATTCAAGTTCCCCTGGAGGTACCACAGTGTCGGCAACGCCTACTGAAACCAGCACATCAGTGACCTCCGCTACAGACACTACTACAACCACAGTAGCGCCTCCTGTAAGCACCACCCCTCTGACAACCTCCACGGGGGCTACCATATCTTCAATACCTTCCACAGGCACTTCCCCCTTGACTGTGAGTTCTACAGGAGGCAGCACACCTTCAGCAACTCCAACTGACAGCACCACTCTTCATTCAAGTTCCCCTGGAGGTACCACAGTGTCGGCAACGCCTACTGAAACCAGCACATCAGTGACCTCCGCTACAGACACTACTACAACCACAGTAGCGCCTCCTGTAAGCACCACCCCTCTGACAACCTCCACGGGGGCTACCATATCTTCAATACCTTCTACAGGCACTTCCCCCTTGACTGTGAGTTCTACAGGAGGCAGCACACCTTCAGCAACTCCAACTGACAGCACCACTCTTCATTCAAGTTCCCCTGGAGGTACCACAGTGTCGGCAACGCCTACTGAAACCAGCACATCAGTGACCTCCGCTACAGACACTACTACAACCACAGTAGCGCCTCCTGTAAGCACCACCCCTCTGACAACCTCCACGGGGGCTACCATATCTTCAATACCTTCCACAGGCACTTCCCCCTTGACTGTGAGTTCTACAGGAGGCAGCACACCTTCAGCAACTCCAACTGACAGCACCACTCTTCATTCAAGTTCCCCTGGAGGTACCACAGTGTCGGCAACGCCTACTGAAACCAGCACATCAGTGACCTCCGCTACAGACACTACTACAACCACAGTAGCGCCTCCTGTAAGCACCACCCCTCTGACAACCTCCACGGGGGCTACCATATCTTCAATACCTTCTACAGGCACTTCCCCCCTTGACTGTGAGTTCTACAGGAGGCAGCACACCTTCAGCAACTCCAACTGACAGCACCACTCTTCATTCAAGTTCCCCTGGAGGTACCACAGTGTCGGCAACGCCTACTGAAACCAGCACATCAGTGACCTCCGCTACAGACACTACTACAACCACAGTAGCGCCTCCTGTAAGCACCACCCCTCTGACAACCTCCACGGGGGCTACCATATCTTCAATACCTTCTACAGGCACTTCCCCCCTTGACTGTGAGTTCTACAGGAGGCAGCACACCTTCAGCAACTCCAACTGACAGCACCACTCTTCATTCAAGTTCCCCTGGAGGTACCACAGTGTCGGCAACGCCTACTGAAACCAGCACATCAGTGACCTCCGCTACAGACACTACTACAACCACAGTAGCGCCTCCTGTAAGCACCACCCCTCTGACAACCTCCACGGGGGCTACCATATCTTCAATACCTTCTACAGGCACTTCCCCCTTGACTGTGAGTTCTACAGGAGGCAGCACACCTTCAGCGACTCCAACTGACAGCACCACTCTTCATTCAAGTTCCCCTGGAGGTACCACCAGTGTCGGCAACGCCTACTGAAACCAGCACATCAGTGACGCTCCGCTACAGACACTACTACAACCACAGTAGCGCCTCCTGTAAGCACCACCCCTCTGACAACCTCCCACGGGGGCTACCATATCTTCAATACCTTCTACAGGCGCCACTTCCCCCTTGACTGTGAGTTCTACAGGAGGCAGCACACCTTCAGCAACTCCAACTGACAGCACCACTCTTCATTCAAGTTCCCCTGGAGGTACCACCAGTGTCGGCAACGCCTACTGAAACCAGCGCATCAGTGACCTCCGCTACAGACACTACTACAACCACAGTAGCGCCTCCTGGAAGCACCACCCCTCTGACAACCTCCACGGGGGCTACCATTTCATTCAATACCTTCTACAGGCGCCACTTCCCCCTTGACTGTGAGTTCTACAGGAGGCAGCACACCTTCAGCAACTCCAACTGACAGCACCACTCTTCATTCAAGTTCCCCTGGAGGTACCACAGTGTCGGCAACGCCTACTGAAACCAGCACATCAGTGACCTCCGCTACAGACACTACTACAACCCACAGTAGCGCCTTCTGTGAGCACCACCCCTCTGAAAACCTCCACAGGGACTACTATACCTTCAATACCTTCTACAGACAGTGCCACATCGACAGCAGGCTCTACAGGAGCCGGCACACCTTCAACAACTCCGTCTGACAGCACCACTCTTCATTCAAGTTCCCCTGGAGGTACCACAGTTTCTGCAACGCCTATCGAAACCAGCGCATCAGTGACCTCCGCTACAAACACTACTGCACCCACAGTAGCGCCTTCTGTGGGCACCACCCCTCTGACAACCTCCACGGGAGCTACTTTATCTTCAACACCGGCTATAGGCAGTTCCAGCTCGACTGCAGGCTCTACAGGAGCCAGTACACCTTCAGCAACTCCAACTGACAGCACCACTCTTCATTCAAGTTCCCCTGGAGGTACCACAGTTTCAGCAACACCTACTGAAACCAGCACATCAGTGACATCCGCTACAAACACTACTGCACCCATCACATTGCCTTCTGTGAGCACCACCCCTCTGACAACATCTATAAAGACCACCTTTGCTCCAACTTCTAGTGCTCCACCAACCACACCATGTAAGTAACTCTTTTAATTCATTTTTTGAAGCTTACATTTTTTTCAATCTCACCCCTTGTGGTTTTCTTCTTAAGTGTTTACTTCTTCACTTATTTTGCTCTTACTCTGGTTCCACTACAATAATACCTCTGCAGTCTTATCACTGTTATATATTTCTCTCTATGTTTAATGTTGCGTACACTAGGTCACTCTTTTATACAACACAGTTTACCTCTCCTAGCCTGGACACCCACCTTCAGTTCCCAGTAAGGTGTTGACACATCTCGTTTCCTTCCTTTCATACTCCGCAAGTGTGTGTCCCATTGCATTTTATGTACTATCATTTCATTAACTTTGTAGCTTTCAGTTTTAGTGTTAAGTCTTTTTATAGGTTTTCCTCACTGCTTTTGGTCGTGCTTAAGTGGAAAATTGTGGTTTTTGTTTTGTTTTGCAGAAGATGTGGCCTATACTATTCACATGCACCTTAGGCAACTGTCTCTCTGCCACCTTTCACTTTTATTTTGTTTGAACTTATCCTCTGAGCATCCACGATAGAAGGAAAAGAAGGTTCATTTTAATCCATTCTGAACTCTATTCCTGTGTTTGAATGTTTATCCTTATGCCTCCGTCTCTTCTCTTTTACTCTAGAGCTTCACTTAGTCTCTCCACTCTGGTTAGGATGAGACCTGCTTCCCTTCATAGCCACTGCTATAATATACTGTTATTTTTATTATACATAGTTTACAGTATATATTATATGGTATACCATTATACCTGTCAGTATTATATGAGATTGGGAAAGGATATGCATTGATGCCCATTGAATGAAGTGCAGCAGACCTTCGAATAATGTCTCGTTCAACATCATTTTATTGTAATATTAATGAGATGCCTTAGGAACTTAACTCTTGTTTATATCAGGCAGTTTATGGTAAAATTGGTTTATTATAGATTATTTTACTTTGCAGGTCCTATTGATTATGTTAAGTGAGGACTTGCTGTATATAAGTTAAAATAATTGAAAACTTTACCGACCTAAATGAGCTATATATACACCCACAGACACATGAACTGTGTCTGCCTAGGGCACTGCCCAATCTGTCTTGAATTGGTAGAGATGAAAGACAGTTCTTCAGTTTTTGGCTGCTACATTTTCTCAGGATTTTGTAAATTCTTCCTCTGTTGAGTTCTGCTTTGCCTGACCTTTCTATTAAGCAGCTTTGTTCTCTGGTTTCTCTCCAATGTGTCTTTGTCTTGGTGCATTCTCTCTGGTTCTTAGGGGGTGGGCTGAGCTTCTTCAGAAGGGAGTTGTATACCTTGTGTTCCCAGGAAGCTCTGCAGGCGTTTCACAGTGAATGCCAGGTGGCTGCATCACTGCTGAGCTCAGAGCTAGTTTTGGTCGTCTACCTGAAGTCAGATGGTCCCTTCTGTCTTCCTCCTATCCCCTGGAGGTTGGCTTTCTCTTTAGACTGTTGGGCAACAGGTGAACACAGCTCGGCAGCTGCTTTTGCTTTGCTCACAAGCATGTAGTTTAGCCCTTAGATCAAGTCTGGACATTCTTCAGTAACACATGAGAGAGAGAGAGAGAGAGAGAGAGAGAGAGAGAGGATTTACATGTCTCCAGTGTGCCCAGGCCTCTTGTGTCACCCTTTCTATTCTTCCTGAATGCCTTGGTCCAAAGGCTGTAAACCGAGGCAGCTTGGTGTGGCTGCTGTGGGTGTGTGGCCCCTGCTCTCTGAGTCTGGTGGGGTAGACCAGGAGGCAGCGGCAGGGCAGGGCTTCGTAGAGCGCATGCACACCTCATGTACCTCCCCAGAGAAACCACAGCTCGGATGCCGCTCTGCACAGGCACAGCCCTTTACCAGAAAAGCCAGAAAGAACAGAACTTTTGATTTTCCAGGCTGGTTGGCATAGACATTTGAGATCTGTCTATAACCGCTTCCTATCTTTTTAAACTAAGCCTGCCCCCCTCCCTCAAACTCCACATCCTCACAAATTCAGCATGGTCAGAAACGGTCCCAACGGCAATGATGTCCAGGACCAGCTCCTCTGAACCCGGTGCTGAAGGGACAAGGACATGCTTATTCCCAAGCTTGGTGGACTCCAGCCTGATGAAGTCCCCCTGAGTTCTCTTCAGCCTCTGTACCCCTTTTTGTCATCCTCAGCCCTGACTGCGCTGCCCCAACTTCTCACAACACCAGGTTTTTCTATCTTTGATTTTCGGAGCTAAAGGAGAGCATGCTGGAAATAGGCCTCCACAGCCAGGCCAACTCTGCTTCCATGTGGGGCCTCAGCCTCACTCCACTTCACTTCTCCCATCTGTAGAGTGAGCGTGGTACTGTCTGGCCCACCCAGGGGCTCGTGAGAATATAAAATTAGAGTATGGTCTGTGACACTGTGTTGCAAGCTATAAAGTACTGCACAAATATGTGTGGTTGAACTGAGCCTTGTCCCTTTCAGTGAAGTGCCTCAATGGAGGGACATGGAACGGGAAGGCCTGTGAATGCCCACCTGGCTTTGGGGGAGATAAGTGCCAGTCTGGCAAAGTGATCTGCCAGAATGGAGGCTCCTGGGATGGGAACAAATGTCTGTGCACCAGCCTCTACGAGGGGCCGAGGTGTGAGGACGTGGTCTCGAGCATTGAGATAGGTGAGTAAAACTGCAGGGCCCCTTCTTCCCCAGCCCTGGGCCCCCTCCATGCTGGGCACCCATTCCTGCTCCTCCTCCGGTAGGAATACGGCCCCTTCCTGGGGCCGCGACCATCTTACCCAGTGGTAAGAAAGTCAAAATATTTTAAAAATGAATTAATCAAGAAAGTATAGTTTGGAACAAAATACAAATTTGGGGCAGAATTTTACCATAAAATATACTTAAAATGAATGAGTATATGATGGAGCAGAATACAAAGAGTGTGTAAAATTCTCTAATAGAATATAAGACCCAGGTTCCCTTGGGCACCATTGCAAAGCCATGAGGAGTACAGTGCGCCCCCTCTCTCCAGGGGCGCTATGGTGAGATCTGAGTTGGGGTGGGGGTGGACACCAGGCACTCGCCTACCCAGAGCAGAGTCACAAGAGGTATGGGTCTCCTTGGTAGGAAATTTAGTGGGTCCTGCCCTCAGTAAGTGCTGCTGTTGTCTGACCCCCTCAGAGGCTCCTCCTGAGACTGTCTCTGCCCAGATGCAACTGAGTGTAACAGTGACCAGTGAGGAGTTCACCAAAGAGCTGCTGAACCGGTCTTCTTCGCAGTTCAAGAATTTTGAGACGTCATTCAAAACGCAGGTGGGCCTGGGAGAGCAGAGTCCCCATTGCTGCTCGGGTGCCCCCAGGGAGGAATCTCTAAGTGCTAAGAGAAAGTAGATGAAGGCCCTGGTGTGTGGCCGTGGTGGGCGAGTTCCTCACCATTTCCTCAGGGCTTGCCAGGGAGGGAGGGGAAAGACAAAGCAAGGTTCCACTTGGGGCTTCCCAGGGGCCCCAGGGGCAGGACTGGTTTCTGGGAAGAGACCACTTTGTTTGGGCAGGGCACCCCTGTCCTCTGGGGAAGGGGACAGGAAGATGCTGCATGTCCATCCTCTGCCCTCCTGAGGTTCTATGGAAAGGGCTAGCAGGCTCCCAGCTGGGGCCTCTGGGATAACAGTGGCCTCCTTGCCTTTCAGATGGACATAGTTTATGCCGGGATCCCTGAATATGCAGGGATTAACATCACAGAATTGACGTAAGTATCTGAGTCTCTTAGGGAAAAGGTCTATGGAGTAGAAACTCTAGTCATAATTATAAAGATAATTGTCATTATGCCCCCTGAGTTAATCTGCTAGAGCTGCTCCTAACAAAATATCCCAAACTGGATGGCTTAAACAACAGATATTTACTTCTCATGGTTCTGGAGGCTAGAGGTTCAGATTCAGGTGTCAGCAGGTTTGGTTTCTTCTGAGGCCTCTCTCCTTGGCTTGCAGACAATCGCCTTCTCTCTGGGTTCTCACACGGCCTTTCCTCTGTGTGTGTGCATCCCTGTGTCTTTCCTTGTAACCAAATCTCCTCTTCTAATCTGAACCTCCGATCAGGTTGGATTAAGGCCCACCCTAACAGCCTCACTTTAATCTAATCATTTCTGTGAACGCCCTATCCCTATATACAAACATACTGTCAGATACCCGAGGATTAGGGATTCAAGATATGGATTTGGGGGAAGACAATTCAGCCCATAAAACCCTCTAACAATTACAGTCACAAATACATTTTCCAAATGAAAGCTCATAACCACTCTGTAAGTGAGGCCAGTAGGGTTGTTCCCATTGTGCTGATGAAGAAACTGAGGTTTAGAGAGATGCAGTAAGTTGTTTGAGGGGTCATTTATAGAGAGTGGTAGTGCCAAGATGCCAACACACCAGAATACCTGGAGTCTACAGCTTGTGTGATGGATACCCCATTAGTCTTCACTGATGAAGCTAAATAGCTTGCAAAGGGAAACCTCCAGGACTAAAGATATCCAAGTTCACAGTTGTCCTGTATTCACTTATTTTCACCTAGGATAGGATTCTGCCTTCACAGAACCATTACTCTGGTACTGATCCCAACTTCATGAAATCCTTGGGAATACAAGGGAGGTATCCTTTCTCATGGTTTACAGAGTTATATTGATAATTTTCAAAAGGAACTTATAACCAAAAGAAAAAAACTTTTTTTTTTTTTTTTTACAAAAAGCACAGAAAAATACTGTTTACCAGCCTTCATTTTTCTTCCTCTCCCAATTCTATCTACCATGAAATCTTCTGTCTCTCACAAGAGAGGCCAACCCAGGTAGGACCAGGTGGGCCTCCCAAGTCCCTCCCCGGACTTCAGACACGGCAGGTGCCAGACCAACCTGTGGCCAGGCATGTCAGCTTTTCAGCAGCTCAGCTACTCTGGAAGAGAACAGTGTTTTTCTTTCTGCCCCTAAAACTCCTCTCCAGGACTGGCATGTATTGACCCTATAGCACTCTCTCTTTTGCTTCTGGGGTGGGGGTGTGGTTAGGGGGCTCTGTAGTGCCAATCCTCATCCCTGTATTCCACGTGTCCCTCAGTCTCTCAGGCAAGAGAGGGAGGGTGGGCTCTGTGGACCAGGACCAGGCTTTATGGTCCTGCCTAAAAGCAGGGGGTGTTCATTCATCTATTCCGCCTCCTTAAGCAGATAGGAGGAGGACTGGGCTGGGGGGCCAGAGGGCCGTGAGAAAGCACCCTGCAGGAAAGTGATTCTTGCTCAGAGGGCAGGGTGTTGGGAGCCAGAGAAAAGGAAAGGAAGCAAAAGGAAGCTGTCAGCCTGTCTGAGGCCCTGGTTTCTCCTAACTCTTGAGCAGGGAGTAGGGAGAGGCTTTTGATAAAAATTTTAACCTTTTAGAATTAAGAAATATTTGTGGGAGCAGGAAAAAGTGAATGTATGCACCTTGAAATTTTTGCATATAGCCTTAAGCAGTTCACAGACCTCCTGCAGCCAGCCTACCACCTAGCAATTCATAAATCCCGTAGGCCTCCTTGGCACACCCTCTTCCTCCATGTCGATGGCCAGCAGCTGCCCAGTCTCCTGCTTCAGTACCTAGGGCAACACCTCAAGGTCGGCCACTTTCATGGTGCCATCCCCTGTCCATCTTCATTCCCGAGCCTTCCCTGAGTCTTCCTGGCCATGTGGCTCCTATAGTGACATACCAAGTGCAGTGCCTGGAATGGAGCCTTCACCCAAGGGATATTGTATCTTCATTTTCAACCATCCTCTCCCAGCTCTGCCTTTCCAGGGGCGCAGAGAAGGCAAAGCCTGCCTAGGGAAAGGGTTGGGGAGATGAGCACCTGTCAGTGCTCAGGAGGATGACCAAGGACATCTTTCTCTCTCTGCTCAGTTCTGGCAGTGTGGTGGTGAAGCATGATGTCCTCCTGAAGGCCAAGTTCACCCCAGAATACAAGGAAGTTTTTAAGAATGTCACCAAGAAGATGGAGCAAAAAATCATGAATGTAACCCAACAGCAAGTAATGAAGGATGAAAAGTGCACAAGTAAATTCCTAGGCTTCTGGGGAGTGGCCTGAGGAGGCTTTCAAAGAATATTTGAACTTGTCATGCCTGCGGTGGGGGAGGGCTGAGAGGCAGAGGGTGGGGAGCAGGAAAACACTGAGAGACCAGGAATCAGTCCCAAAGCCTATCACTCTGGCTGGCAAATGTCAAAAGAGGCTCTGAAAGGAGGATGCAGAGGCAGGTGTTCTAAGTCCTGAATCTGCACGAAAAAGAGGATGAGCCTGACTTACTACCCAACGTAGATGTTTCTTAGTGCAATGAGCCATGTGGGGATCTTGGTCAAGGAGGGTATGAGAGAAGAAAATCACTTGGGGAGTCGTGGTTCTGGAGAGCAGGAAGTGAGGCTGGCATTTCCTCTTTGCAGGGACTGATTTCCCCCTCACCCTGGGCCCTCCCCGCGCCCCCCGCCCCATACCTGGGTACCTTGCTAAACAAGCTTATCACAGGCTTTGTGTCTCCTTCACAGGCTTACTGTGCTTCAACAGTACTGCCACCAAGGTGCAAAATGTTTCCATTATATACAACCCTGAAGGTTGGTGACCCAGGGGCTTCTGGGAGGGTGGGGAGGCAGGCAAAGCTCCCAGTCTCTTGATCATTTGCGTCTGTGGCCCCTCAGAGGAATGCCGGAAGAAAGCTGGGAAAGACTTCGCTGACTACTTCTTTGTGGAGTACAAGGACCAGATGCCAAAATGCATCAACCGCTGTACACCTGGCTACAGCACGTCCATGAACTGCCACTTTGGGAAGTGCATGCTCGAGCGCAGTGGCCCTCGTTGCTAGTGAGTGTCTCACCACCCCACCCCAGGCTAGCCGCCCTCCCCTCTGCACCCCCTGGGGACCCCACTTCCCGAGACTCCAAGGTCGTGGAGTGAGTCCTGGACTTTCCTGAATGCAGCTAGCCACAAAGGACAACCACGGCCAGAGCCCCAAGGCCAGGTCCGGAGTGGACTGAGAGTGGTTCAGCAGCTGCCGTCCTTTCCCTGTGCTTTGTGTGCAGTGAGGCTGAGGAGGGTGTCAAGCTGTAAGGAAGCAGACGGAAGGCCCCAGCCTTGGGAAGCCCCTAGTCAGATGGGAGAACAGAGCTTTGCTTCCAGGGAGAGGTCAACATCCCCTGCTGGTGAAATGGAGATAGCAGATCACACCTACATGGGGAGGGTGGAAAGCCTATAAAGGCCAAGGGAGTAGGAAAGTAAAGTATTGCCTACTGAAACTAAACCAAAGAGACACCAGCTGGAGCGCCAAGTATGGGGGAAGGAGTCACACATATGCAAAGGCCAGAGTAGTTATTCTGGGAAGGCTTCCTGGAAGAGGAGTTTACAGGCTGTCCTGGGGAGGAAAGAAACAGGGTTTAGAAAGGGTATCTCCAGGGAAGAGGACTCGCTCTGGATCAGGCGTGAGAGAGAGTAGAGAGAGAGGCTGAAAATTAAGATGAGTACTGTGTGGGCAAAATGGTATTTCCTCGGTTCTCAAGTTCCTGGGTGCAGCCTAGGGAAGCCTGAGTTGAGCCAGCTGTTTTAGGCCTGGGTTAGAACGTATAGGCCTGGAGCTGGGTATTGGGTCTACTTAAGGCCCACCCATGGAAGCTTGACTTTGTCTCTGTTCATCCCCTCAGGGCTCCTTGCTCTGCATTGCAGCGATCTTTTCTACACCTTTTCCTCATTATCCACCCAAGGGGTCAGGACTGGTTCTGAGGCTGGGGGACTATGGGCATTGGCTAGCCCTGACTCTGAATGGCTCCCTCTCCTCACCTGCTCCTTCTCTCCATTGCAGCTGCCTGAACACAGACACTCACTGGTACAGGGGGGAAACCTGTGAGTTTAGCACCAGGAAGAGCATGGTGTACGGGCTCCTGGGAACAGCGGGCGCAGTGATGCTGATTGCCCTGGTCGTCGTCCTGGTGTTCGCACTGCGCTCCAGGAGAGAGGTGAAAAGGTGAGCCACTGCCACCGCTTCTTCTGCTGCCTCCAGCTCCTCCTCCATTTCGGATCCCTCTGTCCTTAATCATGTTATCCTTGGGGTGGACAGAGCCAGTCCCCAGATTTTTGTCCCCATGCTCTGCTCAAAATGGATTCTCTCCTGTGTTTCTCTCAACAGGCAGAAGTCCAAAGTGACTGAGTTGTACAAGTGGCATGGGGAGGATGGCGAACAAGCCCCTGGGACCTTCCAAAACATTGGCTTTGACACCTCTGAAGGTATTAGAAATTCTCAGTGGACTCAAGTACCTCGAAGTGTGGAGACATACCTCTGAGGCATGTGGGAGGGGCTGAGGAAGCAAAGAGGTAAAGCATTTGCATCTCCAAAATGTTGGGTTCCACATCTGCAACCCTATTTCCACCACTGGCTCCTGCAAGGGCCTGTATGGGGAGCCAGCATGGGCACAGCACACTTAGACCATGAGGGGGTGCCACAGGTTAGTGGAAGGCCGCAGTTTCTCTAGAACACAAAACTGTGCCTCTGTGGACATAGAGAAGCACCTAGGAGTGGGTAAGTTCATGAACAGGTGGGTTACAGCTCAGTAAAGTGGTGACCTATAGATTTTGTTAGGTGAAATGTATTTGTTAAAATGTCTAGAAATTGAGTTTTTAAATTCTAAAGAAGGAAAAAATGGCATGAGGAAAACATTTTAGTCTATCCACAAAAAGGCAAGAAAGGGGAAACAAAAAAAGGAAAGTGTGAGACAAATAGCACAAAATAAAAGAGAAAATAATCCAACCATATCAATAACTATAATAAATATACATCAATTAAACACTCCAATTAAAAGAGTAGGCTTTTAAAATATCTATTCACTGTATATGAAAAGCACATGTAAAATAGAAGCATGGAGAAAGGATAAAAACAAAAGTATGGAAAAAGGCAAAACAGAGAAATACTGAGATAGCTGTTGTTCTATATATGGCTATATTCACTGCGGGCCAATTAACCCTAAGGCAAAAAAATAATTTAATAAAATTATTACCATCTATTAGGAGAGGGCATATTCTGTTGAGATATAACAGGTCTAACCTGTGAGTCCTATTAATACAGCTTTAAAATATAGAAAGCAAAAACTGACAAAACTACAAGTAAAAATTGATTAATCCACCAACATGGTGAGAGATTTAAAAAAAACTCTTAGTAATTGATTGATGAAGCAAACAAAAAAATCATCAAGGATGTGAAAATAAATAACAGCCTTAATACAATTGTCATAGACAGACTGCATTCAACAACTGGAGGGTATACATTCATTGTAAGAGTATATGGAAAACTTTGTGTGTGTAAGAATCTCCACATACGAAGTCAGGAAAAAGTCCCAATAAATTTCAAAAAATTATTTAAATGATACCCTATCATCTGACCATAATACGAGTTAGAAATCAATAACAAGGATATTTCTGGAAAACAAAAACCCTAAATCTTTGGAAAAAATTTTTAAAAGTCTCTAAATAATTCATGAACCAAATAAGAAATTATAATGGAAGTTAGAAAATATTTGGCTACGAATGAAAATGAAAATACTTGGTTTCAAAATGTGTGGGATACAGCTACATCTGGACTCAGAAGGAAACTTATGCCTTAAAAGCACTTGTACTGGTGGAGGAAAAGAAAGAATTGGAAATCGTTGGGCTAACTTTTCAACTTAGGAAGTTAGGAAAAAACAGCAGCAAGATAACTTCAAAGAATGCAGATGTAAAAATGAAAAGCAGAAGTCAATAAACTAGAAAGTAGAAATACAATACAAAGAGTCAACAAATCAAACACTGGTTATTTGAAAAGTAATAAAATTGACTGATTTGTGCTTATGACTAATGAAAAGGGTGAAGATACGAACAGCATCAGAAATGAGTAAGGAAAGAGCACTATGATTGCAGCAGTGATTTAAAAGCTAATAAAATACTATTATAAACATCTTCCAACCAACAAATTCATAAACTTTAGGCAAAATTCAGAATGGTCCTAAAACTGTTTTTGAAAATGAGTCAGGCTCAGAAGGTTTTACAAGTGAATTTTACCAAACATTGACAGAGCAGAGACTGATAATCTTATACAAACTCACTCAGAGACTGGAAAAAGAGACGATTCTCTGTATTCATATTATGAGCCTACCATAAATGTTTATAGCAAAACCAGACAAAGGCAGTAAAAGAAAATAAATTTAAAGACCAAACTTGTGCACGTAGACATAAAGATGCTAAACAAAAAATTAGCACACCAAACCCAGCAGGTATAAAAAAGATGACTAGTTGAGTTTATTCTAAAAACCAAATTAGTTCAAGATTAGAACATCTATTTATAAATTCACCACATTACTAGAATAAGAAGAAATATATGATCATTGCAATGGATGTAAAATAAAGCATTTAATAAATGTCCTTATCTGCCCATCATAAAAACTCATCCAATTAGGAATAGAATCTCCATTTCCTGATAAAGGATCCACACAAGCACACAAAAATCATTCTCAGTGATAAAATATTAAAAGTCATTCAGTTTAACCAAAGACTGACAAACTTTTTCTATAAAGAATATATTTTGGGCCATGGGCTATATCATCTCTATCATAGCTACTCAACTCTGTTGCTGTAGCATGAAAACAGACACAGACAATATATAAATGAACGAATGAGTGTGGTTGTGTTCCAATAAAACTTTATCTACCACTTAAAACTTTTCAAAAATTCTTTGCTTTTGGGACATATAAAACCAAGTGGCAGACTGGATTTCACCCACAGGTGGTAGTTTGTCAAGCCCCGTATTGAACCAGGAGCAAGTCACAGGTGTCCTCTATCACCAATTCTATTAATTATTGCCCTGGGTGTCCCAATCAGTATAATAAAAAAGAAAAATAAAGTGTTCAAAGATTGGAAATAAAAACACAAACCTGTCATTTGCTCATGTGGTTGTCTTACATGAAACCCAAAAGAAGGTTAAATCACTAAAATTAATAGATTTAGCAAAGTTGCCAGATTTAAGATCAATTTTATAAGATGAATTGCATTTCTATACATCAGCAACAAACAGATAATGTACAGTAATATAAAAAACACTCTTTGTACAGCACCTAAAAATACTAAAAAGGGTGTTTAAGGCTTTTCAGTGGAAAAATGATGAAACTTTTAAAAATTGTAGAAAACCTACATGAAAGAAAAACTACATGTTCATGAAATGGGGCAGCCAATATCCTAAAGCTATCACATGGCACCCCAAGCCAGGCCAAATCTTAATGGATTTCATGAACTTGAGAAGGTGCTGGCAAAGGGCTTATGGTTTTTCATTGCTGAATTTTTAAATGTGATTTTTTTTTACATCTTTTGAGAATCAATCAAACCTTTTGCTGAGGTCAAGTAATTTAGGTAGCTTCTCAGGTTTGCAGAAGTTTTCAGGATCTTGAGAGGTGAGGATGCACCCCTTACCCAGCAGTAGGTGGGATTAGAGGGAGAGATGAGAACTTATCTTCCTAACTTTCTTCTTCCATGGGGGCTTTCTCCCTGTGTAGAACAAGAGAACTCCATCGACCTGGACTCCATCTATAGTAACTTCCAGCCCACCTTGGGCCACATAGACTCTAACACAAAGGTAAGAAGGGTCTGCATGAGATGCTCCCCTCCCTCTGCTCTGAGACCCCATCTCCCCTCCTACCATGGTGGGATCTTCAGGAAAGTAGTCATGTTTATGATGTGTTAGTCCAGGTGGTCATCCAAGCCTATGCTGCTGGGAAGTGGACATAACTTGGGAGGGATGGCAGTGGGTGGGGGAGGAGGGCTAAGCAACAAGGTCCACCTTTCTCAGACCCCCGGAGGCTTCAGGCTCAGAGGTTTCACGTTAAGTATGTCCTTGATAGCCAATTTATTTAGTTATTTTAATTTTCAAACACCCATGACAGTCAAAACAGTAGTGTAGTAAATACCTATATACCTCATCTAAATCAACAATGTTTAACATGTTTAACGTGTGTGTGTGTGTGTGTATGTGTGTGTATAAATTTTTGCTGAACCACTTGGAAGTCAGTTGCAAACATGACACCTGGTTGCTATACACATTCGTACACACCTCAGAGTACCATTATCACACCCAGTAAGTGGATAATAATTCTAGAATATCATCCAATATCCATTTTTTCAATTAATCCATGAACAGCTCTTATTACTAGTTTTTTCAAATGTGAATACGACAAATTTCACTCACTGACTTCTGTGGTGTCTCTTTGGTCTTTCAACCTACAACCGGCTCCTACCCTTTTTTTTAATATACAGGGGTGGGGAAAAGTAAGTTTATAGTTGTTCATATGAAAATAATACAATAATTAATAAATAATAGTTTAAGAATGAACCCTGTGTTTTGTGTATTCACAACCATAAACTTACTTTTGCCCACACCTGTATTGGTTTTTGCAAGAGTCTAATATGGTTGTCTTAAAGAATGTTGTACATTCTGAATTCAACTAATTATTTCCTTATGGTGTCATTTAACTTGTCCCTCAATCTTCTGTATTTTCTATAAACTGGCAACGTGGTCTACAGGCTTGATTACGCTCAGCTTAACCATTTTTGCTAAGCATATGTCATAGATAATGGCATTGTATCCCCTCAAGAGGTACATAATGTCAGGTTGTCTCACTATGATTGAGGCCAAGATAGGTCACCTGGGTAAAGGGAGACAACTCCTTAATTGCCACTTTTATTTTAACTGGATCGGTATTTGAGGGCAAAAGAAATACCCTCAAAGTATTCATACCTCAGAAGAAGTGTGATTGACCTCAGTCACTAGTTTCCTTCCCTAAAGACAACCTCATTGCAGAAATGAACTCCTAGCCAGGACACCTTTAAACCTACCTAATTTGGGAGTTGGGTAGAGTGGAGGGATACAGTTGTTTGCACTAGACTCCAGGTAATAGAATAGTTCTTAACTGAGTGCTTCCCCTGTCCCAAGATGCTTATGCTTCCAAATTCCAGGTTTCTCATGGGCCCAGGCCTCACCTGTTTCTGACTCTCTTTCCAGATCAAAATTCAGAGGCCTCAGGTGATGATAACATCACTTTAAGACAAAGGCAAGTTCACATGGAGCTGCAGGGTCTGGAAGTCAGGAGATCTCAGTTCAGCTAAGTTTGATGGAACATTTCCCCATTGAGAGCATTCTACAGGAACATAATAAGAAATAAAGAAGAGGAGAGAGACCACAGTCCTGAGGAAGAAAGAAGGAACTCCTACTTTTTGCAATAGCATGGATGGAACTGGAGAATATTATACTAAGTGAAATAAGCCAGGCAGCAAAAGACAAATACCACATGATCTCACCTGTAAGAGGAAACTAATGAGCCAAATAGAACCAGAGGCAGGGAAACAAGGAACAGACTGACAGTGGCCAGAGGGGAGGGGAAGAGGGATAAGGGTGGAAAGAAGGGGAAGTGACTAGCCAAGAAACATGTATAAATGACCCATGAACAGGGACAACAGGGGCAGGATTGGCTGTGGGAGTGGGGGCAGGGTGGGCAAGGCAGTGGATAGCAAGGGAAGAAAACTTAGGGCAATTGTAATAGAACATCAATAAAATGTTTTTTTAAAAAAAAAAATAGAAACACCATGCGAGTTCCAATGGGCTTGTCAGGTCCTCAGGCAAGTCCCTTCAGCTCGTTCTGGGAAGGTTCTTCCCGCTTCATACCAAGCTTCAGCACCAAGGACAGCATCCCCCATCAGCGGGTTTACAAGGGCAATCCGTCAAACACTGGATCGCACTTACTGTTATACAAAAATGATGTTTAAGATTTATTGTATTCCCTCTTCATGAAAAACGTATGTTTTAAAAAATATATAGCATTTTCTTTGAGTATATAAGATGATGAGTATTTAAAAATTTCTTTTAATCTATAGATCCTGCATTTTTGTTAATATAACCATATATATTTAATAAATAAAAACAACACAAGCAATTTATATTAAATTTGTTATAATTCCCATGCCAGTCTCCAGTCAACGCCCTATACAAGCTCCTGTTCCTCACCGGCTGTGCTCTCTCTTCCTCCCCTTCTCTCCTCTAGGATGTGGCCTATGATGAGTTTGGCCTCAAGATGACAAAAAGGAAATCTGCCCCCAAGCAGAGTGTCACCTTCTGACCTTCCTTGGCATTACTTGCTGGCCCCCCAGCATGCCATGAGGGTCCCACACACACTCGCTCACATGACACAGGGACTCACTTCCTGTTGAGAGAGAACCAGGTTCTCCTTTTGGAAATGGACTCTTTCCATAGATCTAAAGAGATGGGGTTTTGGGTTCTATTTTCAGATTTCTCATTAACTCCCTTGGTAAAATTTGGGAAAATCGTATTTGACCATTTGAACTCAGCTTTACCTCCTGCTGAATAAGGACTAAGTTGTTTGTAAAGTCCCCCTTATCACTGAGATTTTTAACATTTTTAGAACGCCTGATTACTATTTCTGCCATGCAGCTCAGGATTCATTTTGTTCTGGAAGGTCTCTTCCGCAGGCCGCCCCGCTTAAACCTTAACCTAAGAAAGAGCATAGGTTCTGCTGCCCCCACATGGACACTTAGAGCATCTGCAGGTACCGTTCAGCAGCTCCCTGCCATTACCGCCTGGTCTCCTGCGTTAGAGAGCTTTAGGCTTCACTTCGTTCATCCCCGTATTTGCCATCAAAATCCTCAGCTCCTAAAACTGGGCTGTCTTAGTCCGTTCAGTCGTCTACTACAGAATGCCATATACTGGTGGCTTATAAGCAACAATTATTTCTCAGTTCTGGAAGCTGAGAAGATCACAGTACGGACAGATTTGGTGTCTGGTGGGCACCTGCTTCCTGGTCCACAGACACCTGTCTTTTTTCTGTGTTCTCACATGGTAAAAAGGGCAAGGGAGCTCTCTTGGGCCTTTTTTATAAGGTCACTAATCTTATTCAGGGGGGACTCTGCCCTCATGACCTAATCACCTCCCAAAAGGCCCCACCTCCTAAGCACCATCACACAGGGAATTAGGTTTCAACATGATTTTGGTCGGGGAAACACATTTAGTCTGTAGCATGCACTGAATCCAGGTGTCTTTACTGCCACAACTGCCCCCTGCCTTCCACAGGCCCAGACATCAGTGCTCATGGGAGGGGGCATTTAAAATGTCAACAGACCCCACGTCCAGTCTAAAACCATATTACCCACCGCAGCCCCTCCCTGCTCTCTCTTCACATCTGCTCCGCGGACAGGCAGAGTAGAATGGCGAAATGCATAGCTGGCCCAGGTCCAACACTGGGTCAGCTATCCAGCTACTTGGGTGAGCTTGGGAAAGCAGCTTCTTTCTGGAAGTCAGTTCTCTCAGCTGTAAAACAAAACAAAACAAAACAAAACAAAACAAAACAAAACAAACAAAAACTGAGTAACCTTGTGCCAAGCACCATTCTAAGTGTATATTTTAACTCATTCATTCCTTACAACCCTGTGGAGTGAGACCTATCATCATCCTCATTACATGGGTGAGGGAATTGAGGCAACGAGACATCCAGTAACTTGCCCAAGATCATGCAGTTAGTGGGTATAAAGCTGAGATTTTAAACCAGTCACAGTTTAGTTCCTGACCATCAGTTATACACCCTCACTGTGGGACCGCTCTTGGGATTAACTGGGTTAATACACGGAAAGTCCTTGGGAAAAAAAAGCCTGGCTCATAGAAAGTTCAAGAAAGAGAGAAAACATTAGTTATTGTTACACCAACTTTCTCCTTCACAATTCTCTCTGTTCATAACCCTTCTCTTTCAAGTCTCTTCTTCCTCTCTTCCAACCCTCAAAGAGTGATGGGTCTGACGGGGGGCAAGGTGAACGAGAGGTCCCTCCACGTTGCAGAAACGGGGAAATCTAAATGCACAGAGGCACAGAAGAAGGATGAAGGTGGGTGGATACAGCAAAGGCACAGAGAGGAGAGTCTGGTAGGGGCTTAAGAGCAAAGAAGTGTTTGAGAACTATCCCTGCAGGCTCACCTCTGGCCGCCTGCATCACCCCCAGTTACACAGTTTTACACAGTTCCATGTGCCATGGCTTCCCCTTCGGTGCTGCTCCTGCCTGGACCACGTGTCTGTTTAGGGCCATCACCTCTGGCCCAGCATATTGCCTTGTCTGCCTCATGGCTACTCTCCCTTTGGCCTGCCCTCCTGCCAATCATTCCTTTCTGCCACAGCCACTGGCTCCTTCTCTGTTATGCTGCTCACTTGCTCAAAAACACTGATGTCTCCACCTTCTTATTAAAGCAAGATCCACACTTCTCAAGTGGTCTTCAGGGTCCCTGGAATTGGGGCCCACCTTCCCTCACGGCTCCATCTCTCCTTCATCTCTCCATGGTATGTTCTGCTGAAATGCCACCCACTTCCCTCAGCTGTTCCTTCAGCCTGAAGTGCCTTTTCCACACCTTCCTCTTTAGAACCTGATTCAACCTGCAACTATAATTTCACTTCCTCCAAGAAGCTCTCTCGATACAACCCTTCATAATTAATCTCTCTCATCTGCCTTAGTCAGCTCAGGCTGCCATAACAAAATATCATATACTGGGTGGTTTAAATAACAGACATTCATTTTCTTGGAGTTCTGGAAGTTGGAAGTCCAAGATAAGGGTGCCAGCAAGATCATGTCTTTGTCAAGGCTTTGTCCTGAGCTTGCAGAGAGATGGCCACATTCTCACTGTATGACCATATGACTGCTTGTGTGTGTGTGCACACACACAGGAACGGGGTGGGGACCAAGCGCTCTGGTGTCTCTTTTTATAAGGGCACTAATCCCATTAGGCAAGGGCCCCACCTTCATGACTTATCTAATTCTCAAAGGTCCCATTTCAAATACCATCACATTGGGAGTTAGGGCTTCAACATATAAATTTTGGGGGACACATTCAGGCCAGAGCCCTCCTGAACACTGTTATGTATATTTTTTATGTCACATTCATAACCTTCCCTATGTATCTATCCCCACAGGGTGCACATGGGTCTTTGTTCCCTCTGTTCCCCACCTAACACAGTGCCTAACACAGTGCCTTGTGCATAGAAGATGCTATTAATGGTCGCCAAATTTAATTGAATCAATATCCATTCCCACAGTGTTTTTTAAAGCTCTTCCTGTCAAATCATCGCATGCTTCTCTGGCCTTTTTGGCTTGTGTCAACATGACATAATTGAATTCTTACTTGATCTCTAATTGCTTCATGCATGGTTATCTCCGACCCTATGGAAAGCACCATAGAATCTAGCATAGGCCGTGCATGCTGTCGGCACTTCTGCATTCTGGTTGACTCTCTGCTCCTTTCCTCCCACAGCCAAGCTTCATTCTCTCTGGGAGAGATCAAGGCAGAAGAAATGGTCAGCAAATCTTTTTCTCCATCCCAGGAGGCCCTGGCTTTGGGAATAAATACAGCATCCTGGTCTTCCTCTTTTACTTCTCTGGGGTTTTTTATGTCACTTTCAGTCACCCAGAGACCCTGTGGATGGGACAAATGTGAAATGAGGCTGGAAGTTCAAGGTTAATTCCCTGATGATTAACTAAGACTAATGCCACTAGCTCACCCTCAGAATGTGTAGAGATGAGGGAAATAATTTTCTAAAGCATCCTCTAAAATACAGCTCTCAAAGACAGTGAAGGTCTTGGCATTCAGAACCCCAGAGATTTTACTAGACCTGGATGATGTGAAGATTGTGTTTTGCTTGATTCATCGGTGATGATACAGCAGGCGGGGGCGGGGGCGGGGGTGAAGCGTGGGGGTGGGGGGAGGAGTGCTGACTCCCGAAGGCAGGCTGCCTGACAAGAGGCAGGACTCACGGGGAGCCAGCAACTAAGGAAATTTACTGTGTGTTGTAGCCAGGGGAAGTGCAATTGGACCTGGGCGATAATCAGCCTGATTAGCGCAGTGCCTCCTGGAGACAGCCAAGGTCAGGAGGCAGTGTGTGGTGGGGGCGGGGGTGGGGGAACAGGTTAGGCAGCATCAATCAAGAACAATTGGGGTCCTGAGAAATGAATAGGGCAACAGACCCAGAGAAAACAAGTCCAATACCCAGTTGCCCAATTGTG